GTAGTAGAGTTACATAGTAATAGTGACAAACCTTTTCTTTCATAGAACCTTTATTTCACAACCTGTCAATATTCAGTATAGCAGGTAAAGAAAGTCTTTATCAGTAATGTCCACCGTTAAAATAAAATATCTTCTGTAGTCATCATGATTTCACCTTGATGCAATTCAGAAAACCACCTGTTTACGTTACATTTTGTCAAAACAATATTTCACTTTGGTAGAAGAGTTTTGAAATTTGGATAAATTCCTGTTGTTAGTTTTCCTGCAAGTAGAAAAAGATGCAAGTAACAACTAACATAATGTGTATTTTGCGCATTTATAATCTGCTGATCTACCCATTCTTTTTCTGTGCCCACATGCTGTATCCCGCAGACATTTATATTTCAATAAATGTGCTCTGGGTAGTTTTTATGCCACATTTCACACTTATAATAATTACTAATATTTCTTGTTGCATCACCAAGTGCACGTTTTAATTGAACTTCTCATTGATGGATCGTTAATATGAGTCACATGTTTAAAGTTACTTTTACCTTTTCCCACATTCAAATCAATGAAGGGGAGTAATGTAATTTTGTGTTTTCACTGTGTCAGTGTGTAGATCAGTTTCCTTATTGACTGCTTCAGCACACAGTTTTCAATTCAGGAATTTCTCCACTTCTGCTGCTTCTACAAACTCAGAATGTTCCACCAAAGTAAAATATCATGACAAAAAGAAATCAAATAAAAGTCATACAATCACGTTTTAAGCTCTATTTACAAGCAGGAATAAGCATTAGCTCTATCTGTCATCTTTATTAACGATGCCGTTCTACTCAAAGCAAATATATCTGATGTTAGAAATGATTTTCTACGAACACCTTCTGGGTGAATCTTCTGAATCGTTAAGGTGCTAAAATATCACATCAACTCAAAGCAGTTACAACTGAAAAAAAACAAGCGTTTCAGTTTTCACTGACACAAAAGTTCACCACTTTGCAAGAGGCACCTACAGAGCTACAGGATGTTTTGGATATCTCTAGTTTACCATGAACACTTGCTATGACATTGGTCAACTTCCCCTTTTCCTTCTTCAACACTTTCATAGTTTCCTTTCCCCAAATAAAAACTCCTATCAACTCGTCTTGGCTTTCACATCTCTCTTAAAGATTTTGCTCAGTCTGATGATTGGTAAACGTACGACTAAGGTCCACTTGTTAAGATTTTGAATAGCTTTCGATTTGGGACTTTAAATCTTAAGACTAGGCAGGCAAATTTCTCATTCTTAAGACTTTGAACCATCCACAACTACTTTCTAAAAGACAAAATCTTCTTTCAAAAATAACACCATCCAATTGTTCAGCTATCAGCAGTCACAGTTTGAGTCTGTGAAACTTTTCTCTTTCTTTATTTTGTATGTTGTATCGCTCTGTATTAAATAAGTAAATTTGTGAGTATTTAATTCAGTGTTTTCACTGGGAAATGATTAGCTTAGTAATTTAAGTCATCACATTTAAGGAGGAGTATTTTTATATTGTATTCTGAGTTCAGGCAAAGAGGTAAATTAATCCAAAAATCTACATTCATAAAATACTAATATGTAACTTTACAGCAGCACAATGTGTCGTGTTAAATGTCATTAACACAGGGAGTTGTACACTCAAACAGCATTCCCCTTGTTCAGTCATTTTAAAGTAAATATGACACGAGAAAAAACTAACTGTGTCATTTTTCATTTGAATAGTCTCTCTTAACCAAAAAATAATATTTTTAAAATGAAAACTTCAAGAGAATTTAACAATCTGGCATCTTCTCTAAAAATATATAATATTGTAATAGAGTAGGATCCTGTCCTTGTCCCGTAACACTTCATTACAGTCCAGGTGAAAGTTAACCTGCTATTAGGAGCCAGTCCCTAGATCAGCTGAACGAAGAAAACTGTTGGAAAATATGGCACAAAAACAACATTAAATGTTATGTCAAGAAAATACAATTGCTCTGTAAAACAGAAAAAGACAGAAGAGGCTTCACAGGCTGAAACAAAGCTTATCATATTAGTTATTCTGAACGAGCGAGATACAGATTCAAGCTAAATACAGCCAACTTCTGTCTGATAAAAACTAGTCTAGATTTAGTTTAAATGCCCACATTTTATATTTAATGTTAATTTTAACAGAACTTTCAGATTTCACAGTGATCTCTTCTCTATTTTCTCCTATTAAATACTTTAACAGTGAGTGGACAGCAAACATTTTTATAACAGCTCAGCCTTTACACATGAACCTTGTCTAATTTCTGTATTT